TATGGTCTTGACGCATGTGGTGTCCGGGTGTAGAGTCTTCGAAATTTTTACTGTAATAAAACAATTGACGGGCCATACCAGTTAAGACTTCTCTTTACAAATACTGTTTCTATGGAAAAGGCCGATGTATTGTACGGTCGTCGGTACGCCCGAACAGTTGTTTTCCTACAATTTCTCTCTATCTTCAATAACAACCCAGTTGTAACTCAGCCCAAATACTAGATACACCCTGTACAGCGTAGATTCAACTTTACCACGTATTTCGCCCGATCTCGATTAAATGAAATTGTTCATCGGACAGCAGGTGTCTTAATGATATCTTTAATAACGCTCTAGCCAAACATCCCTGGCAGTTGGAGCGAGGCAAAAGGACCGCGCGCGCCATTCGACAATCGATAAACGGTATCGCGCAGCGCGGCACAATTGAACACTTTATGCAGCTGCGATTTCCTGGACTGAGCTGAGTTCAATCACGTTCCCGATGAATTCGATAAAGCCCGATCGAGCTGAAGCACCGCGACAAAACGACCTTTAATTGCCGGATTGATTCGTAGGTGATGGTAGAGGCGCGCGATTAACCGAGTGTGAGTCGGCGATAAAGTTCTCCCAGGGGAACCGTAATATCCGCCTACTGATAGACTTTCTATGTAATTTCACTTGGCTCTCGCTGGTAAGAGTGCTTTTTCGCGTCACCTTGCGAACCTTCCCTGCCAGGCGTGGCCAGCCGACGTTACATTTCCACGCCAAGTCTTCGTTATTCCAGTCAAGATTTTGCGTGTCCTTTTTGCGACTCGACCGTGATAAAACTTCGACTTTGAATGGAACGAAAAATTCTGTACATTTGTAGAGTGTGTGTGTTGGATAAAAGGTTCGGAATTGTGTTGCGTTATATCGAGTACCATTTTTCAACCAGTCGGATGGCTTTGAAAGGAAAGGTTGGTGAAGAGTTTCGATGTTTACTAATTTCAAGATTTAAGGCTTTCACGGCCTGGATCATGATTATTATTGAGCATTAACGGTCATATATACACTACCGCTCATGGAAGTATGGACACTTAAGAATTAAAAGAAAAACTAAATGCAGAAGTTGCTTAATACAGAATAATTTTATTTTTGGTCAGTTCTTTGTTTGATAAACATAAAATTAACGAATACGAACGAAACGAATTAAGGACTTCTAAAATTAAATTTTCTTTTCATCAAAAAATCCTCCTTTGGCAAAGTGTCCATACTTCCATGAGCGGCAGTGTATGTGCACCTATTGCTCATCGAGGTAAAAAAGATATTGCAAAATATATTACATATTTAAGCTGGCAATTTAAAAATTACTTCATTCGTACCTGTGAATAAACCCAAAGTGACACACTCGACAGAGGAATCCAAAGGGTTGAGAAGAACTTAGCGATGGATTATCCTCGTTTCAAGGAACGACGAAAAAAAAAAGAAAGCGCACGAATCGTATGAAAATCATAATGAATCTCACCGGAGACTATCGTAAACGTCGGCAATTGAAAGCTCGTCACCGGTGCCGATTGAAAATAACGCTTAAATTTCACAGAGGCGAACGCGAGCGATAGCTGGTGGTGCAAAGGTGACGTCAGGTGACAAACGTGTGTCAGGTGCCACGTGATAGATGAATATCGCGGCTGGCAGGCGTGGACCAAACCAGTTAGCAGATAGTGACGAGTTGCCCGGATTTATGGTGGTTTAACCAAACGAGAGGCGCCGTGTGTTGTTAGTTTATCGATGCTACCATACTCCGGGCACGGTTAACTATACATGTACCGAGATCGTTACGCGAGCCTTGAATAACGGGGTCGCGCATACATTTCGCGTGCTCTCTCGCGTTATGAAAATACACACGGAACCGAAGGTAGATTTGCGTTAATCATCACACCTTCGTGCAGCGAAAATTTCTTTACCCTTTTCGAGTATGATCATTTTTCTAGAAAGTCCTGTTTCCACGAAATTATCGACCGTCCTTTGAAGATACGCAATTTGATTTCATCTGAGAATATACTTATCTAGGACAGTAGGAAACTTCTTTTTTTTTCTATGAATTAATATTCATGAATCAAGGGGATGGTAGTAATTTGTGATTATATGTACCATTTGCAGTTTTTCTTGATATTATGTGTGCACCTGGATATATGCATTCGGAACGCAAAAGGATGTAAGATTTCCTCTTGTTGCTTAGAAATGTTATGCAGAGAACGTTGTTCTCTTCTACGGTCCCTGTTTCTTCCTTTGTCGTCGTGTCAGCGGAAAGGATATAATAATCTTATCGTTACACGTATAATACTAACTTAAACACTATTTATTTGATAAGGCGTATTTATTTAATACGCATTATCTTTTATTTCACCGAGAAGAACATAGATCCCCCCGCTCTACTAGACCGGGTACATCGATATCGATCGATGCCCGATTGGGAAAATCCCTAGGATCAGGATCGCCCTCTCTCTACACAAATCTCACAAATCTCTACAATTTTCTTAATATTTCACATTTCGTTATAAACATATACGTACGAAATACAACAAAAAGTATAATATCTATTGGATTTAGGCAATAAATTAAAAGGTGATATTTCAATTATAAACTATTCTTTATTTTCATACGCGAGGAAGGCACGTCGAAGGAAAATAAAAGCATATCAGCGTCCACCCATACTAAACAGATGATTACTATGTCATTCTTCTACACTTCGTTCAATTTAAGAGTAACCTCGTTTCGGACATGAGACGTGCCTAAGGCAGGGCTGGAACCACTAGAACCTCCACTTAACCACCTACGTTTTTCTCCGTCTTACCCTCTGCTACGCTCTCCGTCTATGCGCAGAACGGAGGAAAATTGGTCCGAGAGCGAGGTTACTCTTATTTTGAACGATGTATATATGTATAGAACGTCCAAACCCCCCACTTAACCGCCTACGGTTTTCTCCGTCTTACCCTCTGCTACGCTCTCCGTCTATGCGCAGAACGGAGGAGAATCGGTCCGAGAGCAAGGTTATTCTTAAATTGAACGAAGTGTATATATGTTTATATTAACCTGTCTCAGTATGTTGATCATTTTTTCTGTTACCACTGCACATAAGCACTCATTTCTCCTAATAATCCAACAATATCAATTTTTCTTCCCCAAATCGAACGAATTAGTTCAATCGAATTTTCGCTAAAGAGATTAAAAAAAAAAACTATTAATTCACTTAAAGCCCTTTATCCAGAATCTTTGCAGTTCACTTTAGCAGCCCGACAGATCGTTAAACGCCAGCCCCGAAAACTATGTAGGCTCGTTGTGTATCCCTAATGGCGAGCGGTCGCTTGGTTCTAATTGCTCGCGCTCAAGTATCCATTATTGCATCCGCACGACGTAATTCAATCGGCGCGTTTCCGCCCGAAGCGTTTTCATTGCGCCGCGAATGGCGCGAATTTCCTCGGGGTTTGAACGGTTGTATCCTGGAACACGCAATCAATCTCATTTCAAGGCGGCCGGTAAGCACAAAATCGAGCCGGAAATTCCAGACTTGCGGCCTGGCTAGAATATCGAATACTGTCGATTTCGGCAACGAAACCGTGATTCTCCAAGATTCCGACCTGCAGTTTCTCGTTGAAACAGTAACGACCACCGGCAATCCTCCTGTGTCACGGTAACTATGAGAACACGGTGCAAAAATTGCGACAGTCCTGTAACACGATATTTTAATAACACGGTTTCCATATAGCACGATTTAACCCTTACGTCAATTGTCACGTGGTCTACTTTATCGTCCAATTTTAGTAGTTTTCTGATAGCAAACTTCTAAACTTGAAGCAAACACGGATAGGAAATGTGCAGAATACCAACGATTTGGCGGGAAATTCAAATCTTTTACCGGGAAGATCAAATATTTTAAGTGAAAAAATATGCAAAAGGGTACCCGGGTATACACATAAGGGTTGAATAAACTTGGACAACCTTCATTCGAGCCACTCAGAAGCCAAAATGATTTTAAACTCCGTGAACTCTACTTTCTGATATTCTTCCAATTTTAGTATCAAAGCACCTGCTTGGTGCAAATTTGATAAATTTTATTTTATAGAGTTAATCACTTTCACTTCTCATATAGCACAAACTTTTCCATCACACTGTGTGAATTAAAATTAACAGAGAATTCCCCTTGTGTACATAATAACAGCGTTCTCTCCACTTCTTTATCAGCGATGCACAATTCGCATTCGTGAATCTTAATAAAAACTAACTCGGTAGACAGTCTCTTGCTAATAAATTCAGACGTAGTAATGTAATTGTTCAATAGAGTAACTTTTGCCTCGTTTAATTTTCTTTTATTGTCGCAGTTGGACAGCATTGGTATTTTACACTCTCCTGTAACACTGTACTAATTAACCATGTTATAAGAGGGTTGCCTGTAGTTGATTAGCCAAATTTGTCCTGTAGGTATACCGCTTCGTTTGGTAGTTTGATTAGAATGATTCTTTCAACGCTGTTAAATGTTAACAGATTAAATAGGTGGTATAGCTGATGTTAGTCTAACTTTGATGTTTGACGTTCGTTTGATCGCAAAGTAGCCTATTTTGTAATGCTAAAAGGGATGTGCGGGGAATTGTAATGTTGAACGTTGAAAACCACGAGCACGCACTGAAACGTTTTTTTTTTTAGAAAATATAGATATTTAGGAGAGAAAGGAATAACACGCGTTTAACACGATAATTGTTTTTATTACATGTTTTATATAAAGAGTGGTAAAACCGGAGGTGAAAATAAACCGAAAATAAAGAATAAAATTTTTTCCTGAGAAGCTTAGTTTTCGAGAAAATCGAAGTTGCATCGGGTTTGCATTAGGTTATTGCAGATGAAACGATCGAGGTGTTAATCAAGCTATCAACGTGTCTAATTTCAGTGAAAATATAATATTTATTAATCCAATCAAGTTACTCTACCCGAGTTTTATTTTAACGTCCAACAAAAAATGACAAATGCGGTGTCTCTTTTTGTTTCAGATACTGGTTGCTGGGCAAGGTTTAAACGACGATATGTGGCACACGCTAAGATTCTCCAGGAGAGCGAATTCCGTGAAGTTCCAAGTTGACGACGAAACTGCTGTACGGGGTGAGTGAACTACCTTCTTAATTAATTGCATTAATAAATTGTGTAACAATAAGTCGTAAAGAAGAGAATTTATAAGAGAGATACTGTAACGTGTTCAATTATTACGATTCGAGCGAAGTTACTTATTGTTACGAAAATCGTTTTCTGATCTCGACAATTGAAAGTTATAACCATAAAAAATTCCTTTACTTTCTGTAAAACCAATGATTTGCATACGTTTCTTTACATCTGAAGAAATCAGTGTTGCAATATTTTTTGACTTTTCAATTAATGTCACAGTGACGTCACAGCGTAAGCTAAAATCTGATTAAAAAGGAGTCACAAGCGTAGTTAATAAGAGTTATAAGCATAAGAGCAAAGAACATTTTTTATATCTGCCGAAATCGAAATTGCAATATTTTTTTACTTTTCAATTAATGTCATAGCGACGTCGCAGCGTAAACTAAACTCTGAATAAAAGTCCTTTTTTTTTTTTCAAAAAATTGTATATATGTGAAATTAAACAGTGTTGGAAATTGGCCAAATTTGCGGTAGAATCGATAATACAAGGGAACCAACGCAAGCAACAGCGACTCTTATCAGGTTCCTCTTGTTCACCGTGCGCCATTATACAATTCACTTTTTGGGTTTTCACGCGACGTATCTAGTCACACACCGGTGATCTCTTTCGTGCTTTTTGAGACACGAATACAAAAGGGGACTCGTTCGCATTCGAATTCGTACTCGACTGGCTGCAACTAGCAAGCTCGAAAGGCGAAAATATTCCTATTCAGATCCGTTGTTCGTTTTTACGGACACGTGTGCGTGTCGATACACTGTAAATCGGCATTTAAAAATTATTCTGGATATTCTCGTGTCGCGAATGAACTCGTTAGTTCTTCTACAAATAGGTGCAAAAATGTTGCTACCTACGCTGATCAAGAATCGCAAGAAATATCACTGCCATTTTAACAATATTCACACGAGTCATCAATTTATATCTTATATATAGTAGTAATACAACTTTTGAATATTTACCCTCCGTAGGTAATCTGGGTCTCTAATGACCCAAGTGAAATTTCACTTCCCTTATTTAAAAAAGTTACAAAAATGTGACTTAACGAACAATTGTATAACGTAACAGAGACTTTAATAAGTATTCCAGAATTTTTCAGATTTATCGAAAGCTTGAAACAGTTAAGAAATTAGACTTAGGCACAAACTACCCAGTTTACCTACCGAGTGTGAAAAAATATGTTCTCTTATGGAGGGTTAAATGACTTACAATTAGCAATAGAAGCCACTCGGTGTCTTTAAACAATTAAGAACTTCCATTTGAATGTAATCTGAATGACAGAAGGCGTTAAAAAATATTGTAGAAATATTGTAGGTTAGATCGGATATTGTCGAAGGCGTTGAAAAATATCGTAGATAAAACGTATTATATTTTCATAACAGAAAAGACGATACGAATAGAAGCAATCTAAATCAAACTCAAAATAGGTCAACTTTCGTGAATTGTCAAATTTGACAATTTGGAAACCGATCAACTATTTTGCAGCTGCATCGGACGTACAATTTACCTGACGGGAAGAGCTATTCTAAACGTTGTTCGAACAAGCCACCGTTCGCGTTCGTGCGAACAGCTCGCGTGTTACAGCAGCAACCATGTTAAAAAGTCACGGCGATTTTTTTTTTTTTTTTCGACGTCAGTGTGAAGTTACATCAAGATAGCTTTCGGGCAGGTTTTCCATTTTCAACTGGACGCCATTTATATTTCATTCGATGCCTCGCGGTGGCATAAGCTTTTGACGAAAGCACGAAACTGAATTTCGAGGATTATGTAATATTCATTTAAAGTGTTTCGCGAATTTTTATTTTTCTTCTCTTTTCCTTTCGGCCTCCCGGTTTTTGTGCAACTCCATATTCAAACGGGAAATACGGTTTTCAAAAGGAGTGATATTTTCGATACTTTTGATCCTCGTGAATGTTCAAATTGGACGGCAAGTTTTTGTGAGATTTATAACGAGTCGTCTCTATTTAACGTTGGTATAAAGTTTACAAATTTAAGAGAGTGTTTTCTCCTCAAAAGAATCCTCTTTCTTCCTGTATGAACGCTTCGCATAATTTCAATTTCGTCATTCTGGCAATTAATTTTTCAATCGTTTCCAATTTAATATTGCTCCAAGTTTCTTGTAAATATCTCTACATATCTATTTTAGACGCTGGGCATTCTTTTTATATTAATTAGTCGAATTATAATTTCAATTTCGATCTTACATCGTATAATGCTATTTTAATGTATAAGTACAACTGTTGCAGATGTTTCTATGAAAAAGCTAATTTAAAATAAAAATAATATTACCTAAAATACTTAAAGTACAATATTTCCCTTTATATCTATTTTCTAAGAAATTGATAAAAATCACATTACTCTAAATTTTACCTTAATACAATATTTCCCTTCACATATGTTCTCTAAGAAATTAATAAAAATTACATTACTCTAATTTTCACCTTTACAAACACCATAACGGAAAAGTTTAAAACAGTGTACCTACCGAGCAGTAAAAACAATGAAAATTATCGAGCCAAATTAAAGGAAGGAATTTGTCCCCTTTACGAACGAATTGATAAAACGTATCGAAACTTCTGCAACTGTAAAACGTCTCGTAACACCGAGAAGTGGCTCGTAACAGTTAACACTGCGTTCCAATCTGTCCCACGTTCTTTATCGCCTCGAACCTAATCGGATTGTCTCTCATTGCCGACAATAGTCTCTGAGCGTAGCTGCCAACGGTGCTGCCTGGGTGTTACCCATTTACCCTGTACAGCAAACCGTCGACGGGACGCAGCGTTCCAAAGGCAATCAACCGTTTTACGTCTGGTATAGACACACAATTTATTCTGTTCTGTACTCCTTATCCGTTTCGACGTTCCCAACATCGTGTCGTTTCATTTGCATCGATACACTTCGTAACGGGAGCCCGGAAACAGCAGCGATACCCTGCTGATTCCTTATTTCCGTTCCATCGTAACTTGAAACGTGTAACAGCAGCTCTTCGAACTTTCAATGATTCCGCGTACCCGCGTTAGATTGAACGTTAGTCGGTGGTGTCTTAATGTGTGTAGATTCATATTGCAAATTGATATCGCGACGGGGTGTTGTAACGATTGGTAAAGGAAATTTTATTCGTTAGAGTGAACTTGAAGGGACTGCAATGCGTAGACAGTTTGAAAACACAATAAGGAAACATGTAAGGAAAATGAAAGAATAGACGCGTAACTGATGCTAAAGGCTTTATTCGTGAGGTGTGGGTTGGCTTGGTTAGTTTCAAATTGTAATCTGATTAACGTTATTAATATGTTGAATATTATGAATATTATGTAAAATAATATTTTTGTTAACGATACAAATGTCTTGCTGCGACAGACGATATAACATTAGTGCGTCGCCGACGGCTCGTTCGCCGTCTTTATACGCCGCGATGACGCGCGCCCGACCGTTAGTCCAAAAAGGCCCGAATCGCACACGCCACCGAGGCGGCACCTCAAAGTGCCGATCTGATCACTCGCGTGACGGCACAACAATTTTAATACACCTTCATTTCTTTCTTCTCACTAACCTGACATGTATTATTTTAACCTAAAAAATATTGCTAACAAGTGTAAGAAATGCGAGATTCCGGCGGCAAAGTGGTGGCCTGGGATTTGTCACCCAGGAAGAGAAAGCGCGCGGGTACCTGAGGGTCCCATAAACCGAGCCCTTTCCCTGGAAAGTCGAACGAGGGGGCTCCAACGGCTTTTCGGAGCAACGTGGAATACGACGCGGAAAGGACATTCTGGAAAGAACCGTCGAGCAAGACGGACGCCGGGAATCTTAAGCAGCGTTTAAAAATAAAGACTAAGTTATTTTTGGGATACCGCACTATCCAGATATTAGTTCTTTGTTTTCCGAGTGTTTCTTACACAAGGAATTCATAAGTAATTAACTTATTTTCGTCGTTAGAAATTCTACGTTAACCATTCTTAATATATTGTGCTGCTGTCTGTTTGGCACATCATTGGAAATTACTTGAAACGTGATTTGTTAATGCAGGACGAACACGAAGGTAACGAAAAATGCTTGCGAAGTTACTTTCTTGTGAACCTGTCGATAATTTACAGACGTCAAGCTTAATATCCGCCTAAGCTGTCAAAGCGTAATTATTATCGAAAATATCGGCTTGTCGGAGGTGTTTTCGTTGTACTTTCTTCGAGAATTTTTCACGAGAGCAGGCCATGTTGTTTCTCGGTCATTGGACGTTTGAATAATTAACGAATATTGTCGAGAAGAAATTTCGCAAGAATTGACGCGGAGACACTCACAGGAGCGGTGGAAAATTAGAAATTCACAGTAATTTCTCAACGCAACTTTCGCAATTATTAATGCGAAATTGATCGATTAGACTAAAACGTTAATAATATTTCCTTTTTTATATATATTATTAGTTGCATTAGATTTATTTTTACAACACAGTGATTTAACCATTTGCAACCCTCTGGTGCCATTCGTAACGTGCACCATAACTCCGTTCAATTTTCATTAATATCAAACTAAAGCAAATTAACGAAGGAAATAAAACTAAATAAATTAATGAACATTACTAATTTTTCCTTTTAAAAGAAGAGCTCGATCGTATCGAAAAATGCTTAGATTGCAGAGGTCAGAGTTAAGTAACATTTCTTCGCCAGATTTAGTACGACATATCAGCAGAAATTACGAGATTCCGGGCTGAATAATTTTATAGTGACTGTTTAGGTTCGTTTCACATCCCGTAAGTGTCCTAAAATTTCTAAAATACCTTCAAAAATCTCATGTTTCTCAATTCAGAGTCACGATAACTCAACGACTAACCCATCATTGCGCAAAATCTTGATTAAAATTGCGTAATGATAAGTACGACCTACTGCATAAATTCATTAACCCTTTCGCGACGGCGGAACGAGCCATTAGTACGCCACTAACGAACGGGTCGTCG